CCCCCCAACCACCCACATAACCCACCACCCACCTCGCTCTGTCCCCTCAGGAAGCAAGATGCGCCTATGTTGTACTTCTGATGGGTGTGTATTGGATCACGGAGTCGCTTCCAGTCGGAGTTACTGCCCTTATCCCCGTCCTGCTCTTCCCGACAATGGGTATCGCCGGCACAGACGCCGTGACGGGGAAGTATTTCAACGTAAGTCACTCACAGACAATCCATCGACTTGTAATACTAGATTTCACACTGTCATGGTGGCCGCTTTCTTGCTACAAAAGCTTCCCTGCGAAGCGTACGCACCATGTGCTCGTCAATTACGACCAAATAAAAGGCCAAACACCAGTCTCTGTCTAATTAAATGCATGCAGCCTCCCCCCCAAAAAAACAAACAAACACACACAAACAAACCAAACCAAACAACAACAACAAAAAACGAACGCAACAAACAAACAAACAAACAAGCCCCCCCAAAAAAACCCCAACAAACAAACAAAAAAACCCAACCAACCAACGAAACAAACAAACAAACAACACAAAACCCTTCCTTTGCCTTTCATTTGGCTCAACATGGGTCAAACGGTGGGCTCCATAGTAAAGTGGAAATACGTCAGAGCGCATTGTCCAGGGCATTATAATTATGATACAAGTCTATGGAAAATAATAAAATATCTTTATGTAAATTTAATGGGCGTTTTCTGTTTTTGTTCTAAACAGAAACTTTTGTTGTTGTTTTTTTGTTGTTGATTTTTTTTCCTAGATTACCGACAAGAGCAAATAGAAAGGGTGAAGTTACTGGTGTATAGATTTGTTGTGTTGTCTGTCTCTGTGTGTGGTCTAGGAACGAAGGGGTAAGGGGGGGGGGGGACTAAAGACACACACCCAAACAACCCCACGCATGCACACATAAACACGCATATAATTATATAAGCACACACATACACACACACCGACACATACTCTCATATTAAGTGCATACACAAAGGGGATCAAGGGTGACCCTAGAAAGGAACGGGGGACCAAAAACGGACTGGTGAGAAGGAGAGTGAGAGAGAGAGAGAGAGAGAGAGAGAGAGAGAGAGAGA